CCACAGGGTCACAGCCTCCTTCGGGCATCCACCTGCTCTGGCATGGGGTCCTCCATGGGCTGCAGGTGGATATCTGCTCCACTGTGGACCTCCATGGGCTGCAGGGGGACAGCCTGCCTCACCATGGTCTTCACCACGGGCTGCAGGCGTATCTCTGCTCTGGCTCCAGAAGCACCTCCTCCCCCTCCTTCTTCACTGCCCTTGGTGTCTGCAGAGTTGTTTCTCTCACATATTCTCACTCCTCTCTCCCAGCTGCTGTTGCACAGCAGTTTTTTTCCCCTTCTTAAATGTGTTATCCCAGAGGCACTACCACTGTCGCTGATGGGCTCAGCCTTGACCAGCAGCGGGTCCATCTTGGAGCCGGCTGGCATTGGCATTTTCACAGAAGCCTGTGAGAAGCCTGTAACCCCCCGGCTACCAAAACCTTGCCATGCAAACCCAATGCGGTGACAGTGCACTTTGCCAGAATTAAGCTGTAATGTCACCCAAATGCAACACGTTAAAGCATAAACCTTAAAAAAATATACTGAAATTCTGTGTTTCTGTTAAGAAAGCAAAATCTTTAATGTGGAAAAGAATCTGTAGACTTTAATGTGCCACACCTTTTCACAACAGTTAATTCCCTTCATTGCAAGGATTTTGTCTGATTGTAGTGGTTCCCTCTAAGAACAAACTTAGCATTTGGGAATTGTGCAAAATGAAAAGCTTCTGATTAGTTTCACATTATAGCCACTTCTGTTTCCTCATATCAAGTTGGACTGAGGGCTTTATACACTTTTTACCTTTTTGTAGCCATCTCCTTTCCCACTGCTTCGCTCAAGTCTAACAGCCACAGTGAGAGCCAATAATAGGTAGCTGAGGTTGTTCTTACATGCTGCCTTCCTCTCCAGTTTCTCCTTCCCAGGAGTTCCTTCCTTCTCATATTGCAAGGAGCAGAAATATCCTAATACATTAAAGAAAACCCATGTCTTTTTTTTGTTCATTTAAAAGGAAAATGATGCTGAATCATCAAGTTTTCCTTCAGTAACTTGGTGAGAAACAAAAATTTGCTTTTCCAGCTCTTTCAGCTTGAAACTGTAGATTTGCCTCTTGGTTCGTCTTCTAATAACTTTTCAAGAACAGGTGTCTTAAGATCAGCTTTGTGCTTGGGTGGGGTGTTATGAAGGAGATTAATGACTGAGGTTTTGTTTGCCGATAAGTATAACACCTGCAGAAAAGCATTTTCTTCAAACCCCTTATCCTAGGATATTCTTAACAACACATGAATGTGTCACACAGTGATTTTATTTAGACCTACACAGCTGACTTCATTATTCATAAACATATTTCTTGGCAGTTGTCATATGAATAAACTGGGCTTGTATTATTTTTTTCCTTCAGGCATTTCTTTTTTGTTATGTACAAATATTAGAAGGATTTAATTTGCTTCCATAGTAATACTTAACACTTACGTAGTGCCTCACATTATTTAAAAATGCATTATCACTTCTCTTTTTCAGCTTCCTTTAAAATAGCTTCTTTTTCCACTTTTACTTCTGTTGTACTTGTCTGTAGTGATAATGCACACTTTCATTCTAGTTAGGATTAAGAAAGTAATGAGGATTTTATTGTCTTTGATCTTCTGATTGTTTAAGCTCCAGTTTATTCAGAATTACATACTGAATTTTCCAGACAAATTTCTTGCTTTGCAAGAGAGTTTCCTCTTCTTTTTCTCTGCTGTGAGGAAATGGTTAAGGCCCCTGATAATCAGTGCACACTGATATAATTCTGGTTTTGCCTTGGTTACTGTTTTGGGGGAAGTGCACTTGCAGGCTGAGAGATAAATCATCCATCTGTAAAGCACTGTCTGCGTTGTGTGTTAGTCTGCTTGTACGGCGAAGTGGAGATAAGGTGTGATAGGATTTTGTTTTCTGTGCACAGCATGATTCTCAGTTCTTTTCTGCCTTCTTGAGCAGAGGAAAACTATAGTAACAGAAGTTGCTGTGTTCAGGCCAGTAAAGTAATAGTATCCTTGAGAGAAGATACGTTATTCATGCAGCTATGGTTGCAGGGTCATGAGGGTGCTCAACAGCTTAGGTATTGAACACCTGTATTGAACTTCTGGAAGGACTGAGTAATGCTGAATCAAGTATTTTTGATTTCCAGTTCAAGTACCACTTAGCTATTCTCCCTAAAAATTGAAATGGCTTCTTCATGATATGCAGAGTAGAGATGGCAAATCATATTTAGCTTTTAGGATTAAGTTATGAAAGACTTTACAAGTTAAATGTTTTCAGTAATCTAGCAACTATATTAAACCATTTCTGTGTGGTTTTTACTCTTTAGTAGACAATCCATTTCTGTTTTCTTAATTAGGTCTTTACTACTGTGCTGACTCACCCAAAATGTCCATAGAAGAATAATGGAAGCCCCTGAGTACCTTGATTTGGATGAAATAGATTTTAGTGATGATATATCGGTAAGTACAAGTCTTATTTTATTTGCTCAAGTTGAGACAATCTTAGATATCTCAATCCTGATATAACAAACAGCACTATTGTTAGAAGCCACACTCCTTTTTACCTCATATAAAGGAATGTTTAAATAGGTTGAATCTAGAATAAAATAAGGTGTTTTGTAAGGAAAATCTCTAATAAGCTTGGAAGGAAAACTTGATTCCTCTCCTTCGGGTAGTAAAAATAACTTGCAAATCAAATTAATAAACGAGTTTTATTTCTGGGTTGCTTATCTACTCTCTTGTCTTGAATGAATTATATGCTCTCTAATGCTAGTCTTAGACACCAAAATGATAAATTTACCTTTTTTTAAATTGAATGTATTTCGGTTGTAAAAAACCTCCTGCCTCTCTCACCTCTGAATTGCTCCTTTTTCATGTAAGTTGTTACTCTGCCCTTTTCACCAGTAGCCATCTCCAAATACAGCAAAATTTTATCAATAGGTGTGATGTGACATAGTGTCACATGTTTTATCGATAGGTGTGATGTACCTGTGACATGGTAGAGTACAGAAAGAGGCAGAAAGACTTCCAAGGATTCAGACAGCACTGATCTTTAGTGTCACAACTAAAACAACTGCAGCTGTAATTGCAAGCAAAAATACTGTTCATCTGCATTGTTAGTGGTTCTTATAGGAAGCACTAATACAGTATATTCTGTTACTTATGATAATACTCCTACTGCCAGTATTTCTGCTTTTTGTGTAATAGAGTTGCTAGTGTGTTGAATGTCTGGTTAACAATGGTCTCGAATACTTAAATTAAATCCACTATAAGAAAAATGTTAATTCAGTTTTCAGATCAAAGAAAGTGTGCTGCCATCTCCTTCCACTTTTTTCATAATTTTATAGTTTTATTTCTTTTTTTTTTTACAAAGGGCCTGGTTTTCCCTTTAGCATTTTGGACTCTTGATTCATTTTAAAACATTCCAGATGCTTTATTTGCAGACAGATTCCTTTTGGAAAGGATTTTATTTTTACCTATTGTAAAGTTGAATTTTTATTAAAGAGGAATATGGCAAATGCCCAAAATATTATAAGACAATGAGCCAATCTTGAGTGAATACCTTATTCTGGGCAACTTTCTTTTTATTACTGTTATATGCTAGATCATGTCCTGGTATCTGTTTCTATACTCAGTTTTGTAAAACTGTAAAACATAATAGATGTAACCTCTCCATGTCTCTCCCATTGTGGCTGTTGCTGCATACTGGTGGGTTAGATTACTCACTTTTCCGCTGAACAGCTCAGGCTGCCTGTTTTAATAGGCTGTTCTTTCATTGGACACTGAACCTTGAATAAAAAACCAGCACAAATTATAGAGGTAGCAGTTTTACTCCCTGCTTTAGCAGGTAAGAGAACAAAGGATTTGTTGCCAGAATCCAGATTAACAAGAGAATTCATGGTTATTCTCATGCTCTACTCATATCTCACCATATACAATTTAGAGATACCTGACCTTCACATTTTGTCATTAGTCTGCTGTGGAAAAAGCAGCTGCACAGCATCAGTGTTAGCAATTTATATTGTTCCTGTGAGCCCTCTGGTTCTAATCCAGTGCAGAAAGGTATTGACTAAAAATAATGGCAGCAAGAAGGCTGTTAATATGATGCACTTATAAATGTACCTGAGTTAGAAAGCCACTGTGTATAGTCCAGACCCTTGTAGACCATTTCAGCCAAAATGACCAAAATGTAATAGTCATAGAAAATAGACAGGAATTTGTTTTAAAAGGCAAATAGATATGTAAATGGTTTTGGTTTCTTTTTTTTTGTTTGTTTATGTTGCATTTGTACATAAGAAAATGAAACTGTACATTTCTCCAAAATCATAGACTCATAGAATGGTTTTGGTTGGAAGGGACCTTCAAAGGTCATCTAGTTCCAACCCCCCTGCCGTGGGCAAGGACATCTTTCACTAGGATCAGGTTGCTCAGAGCCCCGTTCTGGTGGGTTGACCTTGGCTGGACACCAGGTCCCCACCAAGCCACTCCATCATGCCCCCTCCATCAACAAGATGGGGAGAGAAATAGGACAAAAAACACATGGGTCAAGATAAGGACATGGAGATCACTCGTCAATCACCATCATGGGCAAAACAGACTAGACTTGGGGATATTAATTTAATTCATTGCAAAACAAACAGTGTAGGATAATGAGAAATAAGAATCAATCTAAAAACACCTTCCCCCGAACCCTTCCTGCTTCCCAGGCTCAACTTCACTCCTGACTTCTCTACCCCCTTGCCCCGATCAGCGCAGGAGGACGGGGGAATGGGGGTTGTGGTCAGTTCATAATGCTTCATCTCTGCTGCTCCTTCCTCCTGACACTGTTTTCCCGCTCCCGCATGGGGTCCCTCCCACAGGATACAGTCCTTCATGAACTGCTCCACAGTGGGTCCTTCCCACAGGCTACAGTCAGGAATGGACTGCTCCAGTGTGTGTCCCCCATGGGGTCACTGGTCTTGCCAGAAAACCTGCTCCTGTGTGGGCTCCTTTCCACAGGCCACAGTTCCTGCCAGGAGCCTGCTCCAGCATGGGCTCTCCACAGGCTGCAGGTTGTGCTTCAGGGCACATCCACCTGCTCCAGTGTGAGGTCCTCCATGGGTTGCAGGGTGGATATCTGCTCCACCATGGTCTTCTTCATGGGCTGCAGGGGAATCTCTACTCCAAGGCCTGGAGCATCTACTCCCCTCCTTCTTCACTGACCTTGGTGTCCACACAGTTGTTTCTCTCACATTTTCTCACTCCTCTCTCACAGCTGCTGTTGTGCAGTGTTTTTACCCTTTCTTAAATATGCTATCTCAGAGGCGCTACCAACATCACTGATGGGCCAACTTTGGCCAGCGGCAGGCCCATCTTGGAGCCAGCTGGAATCGGCTCTGTCCCACATGGGGGCAGCCCCTGCTGTGTTCTCACAGAAGCCACCCCTGCAGCCCCCACTGCTAGTTTGCTGCGTAAACCCAATACAATCGTCAATGATGGGCATCCACCACTTCTCTAGGCAATCTGTGCCAGTGTCTCACCACCCTCATAGTAAAAAAAAATTTCTTCCTTATATTCAGTCTAAATTGACTCTCTTTCAGTTGCCCCTT